TTTCTATATCTCTATGTATGTACACATAAAAAACGATCTTCTTTTTTATCCTCTTTCGTTCTGGTTCAATATTATCTTCATCATCTTCATCACATTTGAATGTTCATAACGCTTATTGTTATCATCGTTGTATATTAATGGTAACTAAGAGGATGAAGATGCTATTTAGATTATTGATCTTTTCCCTCTTGGGTTCCCATTCTCATAATATTAATCAACTTTTTTACGCTTGATAATTATTCATGACTTGAAATTGAAACAATCATCTACCCACCCAGTTCACCCTCCACCCACCCACTCACTCACTCAAATACACTTGCATACAAAGACTCATAGACAGTTAATTGTGTACTTTTTTGGTAATTTTATCAATTAACTAAATTATGTTATGTTATCACAAGAAATATGATTCTTTGTTTTAGCAACTCTCTCTGTCTATTGTTGCAATCATGATAAAAATTCAGCGAAGCTCAAAAAAAAAGTTTCTATCATGCTACTTCATTAATTGTCCGTTAATCATATCCAAGTTAATTAACACTAATTGATTAATTTTCAAAATTAGTAAACTTGAAAAGTTTAAATAATATCAAGACAATCAATCAATATCAAAAGATAACCGTTAGATTTTAACAGTTTAATCAATAGGTAAAAGTTTATTCTGGAAAAATTAATCATGGTAATCAAAAGTTCATGAGTTACAATCATCAGTGAGTAAAATTTTAACTTACTAATCAGCTGAATGTACAATTGATACAAAGATTATCAGTTCTCTATCCAATGTAACAATAACCATGATTCTGATTCTGATAATCTTATAGTGTCATCTTCACCCACCACCTACTCCTCCCTTTTCCTCCTTCATGGTAATATCAATCTCGTTTTCCTATTTCCATTCATATAATTCAACCAAGCTCAGTGTATAATTATCATCATCATCAGGAGGAAGACGATGATGATAATAATGATGATGAGAAAATGGTAAAAAAAAAATATAAAGAGGAAGTGTAAGAAAAGTCAAAGAACATCAATATTACAGTTTACAGATGAATTAATTCAGACTAAAATTCTGATTATTATTATCATGAGATTATTATGAATATAAGCTAACCAACCATGGAATCTGCACCAAGATATACAATTGTTATAGTATTTAATATACTATAAGAACTGAGGATAAATAGACAGAATCAAATAATGATTTAGATGAAAACTGAACTGAATGAGAATCTCAAACAAAAGAACAAGTTAAGAAAAAATATCATTCCAAATATTCAGAGTTCTGATAATCAAGAATCAAGAAATAATCAATAGTTTAAACATTAGAAAATCATCTATTACAACAAAGATCTTGATTATGTGTTCATTATAATCTTATCTTCATCTCTCCTTCTCTCTCTCTCTCTCTCAGTGTCAAGATGATGAAGAAAAATAAAAAGATGAGGATGATAAATTTACATAATGAATATCAAGGTTCCCAACAGTCAAACGCACCCAGAAACATAATCATACCACTAGAAGATAATAGAAACTTAACCAACCGTTAAATTAATAGTCAATTTGATTCAGTCAAATTGTGAAGGCGTTTGCAATGATTATCATCATCATCACCATCATCATCATCATCTCATTGAGGTACCTTAATATACAGGATAAACTATCATGATCCACAACCACAACCTTAACCAACTTACTGAACCTCAAACAACAACAAAAACTACAAAACTAAACGTAACCATTAACTTGATGATAATCAAGCTCTGTAAACCAAACCTATCAGCAATTTAAATTGTACCTATGATTACAATTTACACGAGTTAATTGTTCTTAAAAAGATGATTAGTTTTGTTGTTGTCTAAATCCATTACGAGTCAATCACTAGCACTTGGAATTGTCAATGACGGAAAATACTATTGTTATTAAAATGAAATTTTCTTAATTCTGTTTCCTTATTCAATATGATTATCATATTTTTACACTTTGTTAACTTTTCATTCATTCATTTATTGTATGAAAATAAATTATATTCATGATACTATTTAGATATTGTTAGCGTATCGTTTTTTTTTTCATTATTCAAATGACCAGAGCGTGAAAATTGCGGCTAATCAAGTAGGGATGATGATGATACTGATGGTCAACAATACAATGGACAATATATATTATCATGAATACACTTTGCAACAATAACATTGGAAATGGACAAGGTTAAATATATTTCTTGATTGTTGTATAAATAATGATATGTAAAAAAAAGGTTAATTTTTAATCATCATCATTGTAAATTGTTAACAATACCGACAGTGTGACCTTGCCTATTTTTTTCACTCTCTATGGTTGATCACGATTTAAATTGTTGTTGTTGTTTCCAACAATCAAGAGCAATTTATTAATGAGATAAATAGAAAAGGGTAATTACAACCATTGGTTAAACTTTTAGGTAAGAAAAAAGGTATTTCTATTATCATCATAATCTAATCATCATCCGCATCATCATCATCATCATCATCGTCGTCATCAGCATCATGTTATTGACCATTTTGTTGACCAAGAGAAAACAAAAAGTCAATCAAGTGAATTCCTATGGCCGGTAAGTCTAGTAAAGTTACTTATTATTGTATTGAATGTGTCCAGTGTAATGTCCAGTTTTTGTTTTCTCTCAAATTAACTGACAAAAAAAGGGTTAGGTTATTGGTTAAGTGAAGTGTTTGTAAGTGTTGTTGGTCAGTTTGTAAAAAAGGAGGAGGAGGAGGATAAGGTGGAAGTGGTCAGCAAATATCTTGCAAGAATAGAAAGTGAAAGAGAATCATCTTTTTCTCATCATCCTCATCTCGTTACAAATGTAATATTAATGTTGTGATACATTTTCCAAAGGTAACAACAGAGGAAAATAAAATAAAATAAATCGTTTGCAATTTAAAAGTGGAAAAAATTTGGTTACTAATAAGCGTGGATCCTTAATATTGCTTTTTTTTACACTCAACAAACATAATCAACATACACACACACACACAGGTATAAATACACAGTGAGAGAGTGAGTGAGAGATACATGTAACTACCTATGATATACATTGACCATATCTAGAACAAAGGTCGGCAAAAAGGCTACAGAAAAAACCCTCCGGGGGTTTTGCCTTTTCCAAGTTTAACCTTTGCAAGATGCTTTTTACATTCATTGTTGCATTGCCTCTTTTTTACACCTTTATTTCAACGTAGAAGCGTATAAGAAGATGCTCATCATCATCTCTTCCTCTTCAACAAGCCCCTTTATTTGCCTCCAACCGATTCTCTCTCAAAACTTCATCATCATCATCATCATCATCTCTTTTATGTATCAACCTTTGTTATCCTCATCTTAGTATTTTTCTTCTTGTTATTCTTGGACAAAAGATCCAAGTCAAAGTCAAAAATTTCATTGAAAAAAAAAATTTCCTCTCCTCTTGTGTTACACTTAATGTGTTTCTACTTGTTTCTTACCTGTTATTTTCCTGCTCACCAACAATGAAACAACAACAACAACAACATCAACATTTACAAAACCCTAACATTATCCCTTTACCTTAAAAATACAGGTAAAAATTGCAAACTTTTCAAGGTAAAAGGTGTGCCAATTGAACACAAATGATAATATATAACATGGATCATGATGATGATATGTCCAATTGTATTGTATATGAATGATAATAACTTATCACTTTTACTGTGTAAAAGTCAAATTTCAATTTCAATTAACCTTTTCATGAGGATTAAGATTGTTGTTATTGTTGCTAATGGATTAACCATTGATGAGAAATTATTTATTATCAGGATTATAATGAAAACGATACAAATACTTATCGTTGACACATTCAAGTGACTTTCAATGTAGCACCTTTACCAATTTTAATGTATTATTATTATTGTGTCATCGTCTTTAATTGTTGTTCATCTTATTATCATTACAATCACCTTGATGACATTTTGATAATGATGATGATGTTAATTATGATTAACATTTTCTTATCATAGAGATGATACAATGGGAGATATTTTGTTTTTCTTGTTATTCTTTTCACACCGAGTTGATTTTTCTCTTTCTTTTAATTTATATATTATTTTCTTTTTCATCATCATTAGCACGTCAACACTGTAATTATATGCTCACCTTTTTTGAGAGAGAGAGAGAGAGAGAGGGAGATATCATATGATAATGAAAAGAATATGAAAAAAAAAATTTCGTTTTTTGTTCGAACTTGAAAGAGAAAAAGTTTTTTTTTCCTTCGTTAGAACTTTTTTTTCTCTTGTTCTATTCTAAAGTTCAATGGATTTATATCGTTTCTATATATGTTTTCTGGTTCTTTTAGGTTCGAGGAGAAAAATTGTCATTCACAGAATCATGATTACGATGATGATTAAATTACCATGTGGATTAAATTTACTTTTTGTTCAGGTTTTGATTGTTACTTTTGTAAATCATGATTAAAAACGATAATATGAAAACTTTTTTTTTGTTATTCTAATTTGTAATTGTTTTGATAGTAATTTAAATACAAACACAACATGACGTGAACAATGATGATGATAACATGGTAATATCATGTATATTGTGTGTGGATGATGAGGATGATAAGGATGAGTTGGTTAAGTGTAAATAGAAGAGAGAGAGAGAGAGAAAACCCTATACAATGTAAATGAAATGGTCTGTTGATTATGAGGTCGAGAAAGAGGAAGATAATAATGATGATGATGAAGATAATGTTCTGTTCTGATGATAAGGGGGGTTAAAGGCGTGTCTGAGTAATTCTATTGGTTGAAAAAGTTGTAAAGAAGATAAAGAAAGAGAAAACAATTATGTCTTTCTTTTCTTTTGGATTTTCTCTCTCTTTTCATTCTTTCTCTCTTTCTCTCTTCTAATTTACACTTATCATCCATATCTTTCACTCTAAAATCCATTGAAAACCAGTCCACCCCATCAACTTTAATCTAATCTTCATCTTGATCATCATCATCATCATCATGGTAACTCCTCCTTCCTTGTACCACCTTCCACCTCCCACCTCTTTCTTTCCTCTCTTTCTTTACTTACTAAATGAACGACAAGACAATTCATGTTTACATGTAACTTTTTTGTTTGTTAGTAAAACACATTCAGTTGATTGTATCACTCTGTACATATTTCGTTCAATATCTGTTTATGTTTACAGTCTGTTCAATATACACATTCTCACATTTTATCCTCCCCCTTATCATCATCATCTCTCTCTCTCTCTCTCTCTCTCTCTCTCTTGACTCAATACATTGTTGATTTTATTTTTGTTACGTTTATATTATCTATAACTGTACATCAATTCAATATCCACACACACTGTATGTGTTTAAATACATTGTTGTTTTTTGTTGTTACTGAATCCCTGATGATTATTAATCAACAACAATTTACTTAATCAACATTGTTTGTATGTAAATTGTGTGAACCCATTTTAACCTAATCAATTACAATCATGGTTACAATCAACAATTACAACGATTATCACAATTATCGCAAAGAAACATCAAAATGTTCATCATTTCAACCAATCAATTGATTTAAAAGTTGATTGTCTCGTGTCTCGTGTTTGTGTGAGTGTATTTGTTTGTTTTTATTTCTCATACAATTTAATTTGCTTTGAGATTTTACAATTAGACAAATTTAATTGTTCATGTGTGTTTTTATTTGTTAATCGAGAATAACAAAACACATTATATAAATATACCAAAGAAGATCAAGATTCATTCATTTCAACAACCATTGAGTTTACTACATTGATCCATTGATAAAAAAATAGTAATTAACCTGTTCCATTTTTTACCTTGATTCTCACCACGATTCTCAGAGTCGATAAAAGTTCAAGTGAAATGCCGAGACCCGGAAGGTCTACTTATGGTGATCAAAAGCCTCCCTATTCATATATAAGTTTAACCTTTATGGCGATACAATCGTCGGGTGAGAAAATGTTGACATTAAGTGATATTTATAAGTTTATCATGGATCGATTTCCATATTATCGGAAAAACACTCAACGGTGGCAGAATTCATTGAGACACAATCTCTCATTTAACGATTGTTTCATTAAGATTCCAAGGCGACCTGATCGTCCAGGTAAAGGTTCATATTGGGCTTTACACCCAAGTTGCGGGGATATGTTTGAAAATGGTTCATTCCTACGTCGACGGAAACGCTTTAAGCTACCTAAAAGTATTAAAGAAGCCGCAGCCATGGCAATGGCGGACATGAAACATTATCAGAATGCAATAAACGCTGAGAATGCAAAATTAAAGTTAAACAATAATGGTGATGGTGATGTTGGTCCTGGTGGAAGTCGAGATGCCGATGGAGATGGAGCTGGAAGTGGTAGCGGTGGAAGTCGTTCAAGTATTAACCTTGGCTCACCAGGTTCCCCTGTATCTTCACACCATCATATTCACAATCCACCAATAAAACTTCACGGTCACCATCATAATCATCATGTTGGTCATCATCCAACAGGTCACCATCATCATCTTAATCCACCTCCACCTCCAACTCATCATCATCATCATCACCATCAAGCATCACATTTACATAATTTACATGCAGCCGCTGCTCACCATCACGCTGCCCATCACCTTTTCGGCCTGGGCTTCGGTGCTGCCGCTGCTGCAGCAGCCGCAGTTGCCGTTGCCGCTCAAGCGGCTGCAGTAGCCGCTGCATCTTCAACATCATCATCAACCCTTTCAACTTCATCATCTTTATCCTCTACATCATCAACCTCACCCTTATCCACAAGTTCACCTTCATCATCTTTAACCTCATCATCATCAACCACAACAACAACAACATCCACCGATCTGAGTAGACTTCACCCTCACCACCACCCACTCTCCCTCTCCTCCCTACACTCACCTCTCTCTCACCATCACCACCACCATCATCCTCTTCATCAGTCACCATTTGCATCCTTATTATCCGCTGCTTCCTTAAATCATCAACATAAATCACCTTCCTCATCAAACTCCCCAATAATCAATACCAACAATCAAACTAATTCAACAACTTCCGGAACATCATTAACAACCAACAACAAGCAACCCTTTAGCATTGAACATTTAATTGGACCAGATAAAGTGAAAGAGAGACCCTCATCTCCAACCTTATCATCCCCACCATCATCACCTCTCTCATTATCAAAATGTGATGATGATAATCCTAATGATGATAATATAACAATTGATTCACCAAATGATGACGATAAATCAACTATTGTAAAGATAAAATCTAACGGTAAACACTCACTATCCTCTTCATCTTCATCATCAACATCCTCATCTCCATCACAATCACCTTTACCATCTCATCATCATCATCATCATCAATCCAATCAACAACATAGATCCCATCATAATCCCACCAACACAATTACAAACAGTCCATCGTCACTGCCTTCACCTTTATCATCTCTCTCAACCTCATCATTAGCCACCTCTGTTTCCCATGACACCCTAGTGGCCGCAGCTCATCAAAACGCTGTTGCATTTCAAGCTGCCCTTCATCAGGCCGCAGCGGCTGGACTCGCTTTCCGCCCCAGATTACCTGCTTTTCCAGATTTCCCACCATCATCAATCAATTCACTTCCCTGGTAAGTTAATCATCATTAACACCTTCAAGAAAAAAAAAACGAAATAAGAATTCAATTAACTAGCATCATCATTAACACTCTGATCATCATCATCATCATCATCCTAAATCAATTGATTTGCTTTTGCAAAGAAAAACTTAAAATCAAATTCAAGTATTTCCAGTATCATGTTAATCCTCACGATTAAGATTACATTTTATCAAGAAAGTTAATCTTTGGGTGTTAATAGTAATCAAAGTTGTATCTCTCTGTGTTGAAAATTATATCATGAAAACCTTTTTATTAGCTACACTTTTCCCGTTGGATTAATCTAATTACATGTTAATCAACAATTTTTTTTTTCTTCATAATTGATAATATTGTTTACGATTAAAGGGATTTCTTTTATTATCCAATTCAAGATTAAGAAGGATGAAAAGTTTATGAAACTAATGAGAAGCTCATGTTAATCATACAGAAGCGATAATGATAATTTAAGAGCGGTATCAACAATGATTAAAATCATCTTTTTACCAAACATCAAATAATCAACAATCAATTTCGATGATCACAATGAAAAGTTTCAACAATAATCAAGATTATACAGTTGCCTCTTATATAGACAAGGAACAGAAAAATCAAAGTTAGTAGTCTAATCATTCACGGGAAGTTAATTTAATAATAAAGGTAGAAAAATGAAACTGTAAATAATAGTATTAAATGTTGATAACAATTGGTTAATGATACAGGAATTGAGGATAAAGATTAAGGGATGAGGATGATAATGATAACTTATCCATCAATAGGATTTTCATGTTTCATCACTTTGAAACTAAGAAGCAACAAAACAACAAATCAGATTCATAAGAATGGGAAGAAAACAAAATCGTGAGTTGTAATGAATATTAAATGTTCAATATTTCAATTGATAAAATTCAGGATAATAATATGAAATTACAATTACATGATGATGATGATGATGGTGAGATGATGATAATAGTCATGATGAATTGGATAATGTTGATGGATAAATAAAAGAGATTCAATAATATTTAGTAACAGTTAATTTGTTGATATTCTTGTTCCCTTAGCACTTTCAACAGGGTGAATAATTCTGGTTCCAATAATGATGATGGTGCGATTGTCAATGTTGGATCTAAGTTCAGATTCTGGTTGGGAGTTAAAGAGTAACTGTAGATTCGTAAGTGTTTTTTGATTGCCTGGACTAATCAGCAAAATTGGTCGTCAATTAATTATCAAAAATATCGATAATTTCAACTATCAACTTAAGGATTAACAACAATTACAACAGCAACAATTAAACACGATGATGATAATCAATCACATATATACATACGTATATGAATATCTGATAAGTATATATAAATATTATATATAAAATAGTTGGGACAATTAACTAATCAAATTTGTAAAATATAAAAACCACCAAAAGCTTAATTAATCAACCCCATTCATCAATAATGATAATCATATATACACACAGACAACAATCAATTAATTGTGTGTTCCCTTTGGATTAATATAATAAAACATTTTGCCAACCATTAAAGAAAATTAAATTTGATTCAACAACAACAATTTAGTGTTCTATTGTTTTTTTTTTGATTGTTTGTTACCTTACCCTTGACCATTGGCTATTAAAACAATTTATCTCTCTCTCTCTCTCTCTTTTCATTCATTGATTGTTAACCAAAGACAATTAACTGATTGAATGAACTTATTAGCTTTGTTTTTGTTTTTTTTACAACTTGATTCACATAATCATGTTGACTTTCCCGAGAACAGTGAAAAAATAAGTTAATTCAATCAACAATCAACAATCAAATCAACACAATCAACAACAACATGTTCCGTTTATTATAACATCATAATCATCATCAATTTGCTCAAATCTAGTTTAACATTTAATTGCATTTAGATGATGATTAAAGGATTACCATTAATCCCTCTAATCATCTCGTGCTTCTAGGTCATTGTTACCATTTAATAAATTGTTCAATTATCTTTTTGTGTGTGATTTAAAAGCTAAATTGTTGCTTGAAAATTGATTTAACTCAATTAACTTGAATACATAAATTGCTGGGATGATAGTAAAAAACAAAACTATGATAACTTGGTAATAATTTTATTATCCCAATTGAAATAATTATTATCCCAATGATTATCACAATAATTTACCGATTATTATTAATAATGATTAACTAATATCTTGATAATAATCAACAACAATTTAACAAATCAATTCACCTTTGGTAACCATATTATTGTGAATGGCAAATGATTAAGTTTTTACAAATCAATTTGAAAACAAATTAACTAATAACATTTAAATTGCTAACAAAGACTAAATTATCAAGCCCAGAAATTAAATCTAATATTTACAATCAACAGCAATTTAACTTGAAATGGTGATTAAGTTAATACAAATCACCAAATTTAATTGTTACTCTATTTAAATGATGAACAATTTAAAATTATTTACATTTTATGTAAAAACAATTGCATTTATAATCTAATGGTAAACAATTAACAAATTGATTTGACAATCAAACAAATGATTCATATTTACAATTATGCTAATTGTAAATCAATACACACCTTAATTATTGGAAAGGTGTCCCAACAACAATCAATTTAATCACTGAATCAATTCAATTAATTGTTTCGTTTTTTACTTTTCCTTTTTGATTATTAATTTTAAATCATTTAAATTGATTGGTTGTTGGATTGGTAACAATTAACATTTTATTAATATCTAAAGCCCAACCTATGTAATAATAATCAAATATAGCCTCGGGTTTAATTGCTACCGGACTGAGGATGATAATGTTAATTGTTACTCTTGTTGTTAAAATATTGTCTCCATATTAAATTAATCAATCAAACAATTTACAGCTGCAGTTAATTATTATTATATTGTCTAAATTAATTACAATTAACTAACCAAGCAAACAAATAATCAACCGCGTCCCCAACAATCAACCAAACTTTATATCAATTTAAATGGTTAATCTTTAATAGGATCTAAACAATTTATTGATCATTGACTTTCAATTATTAACCATTGTTGTTGGTGATTAGTTGATTGTTGTGATAAAGATCAATAGTTGTAACTTTTGATTAATTTAAATATTGATTCATAATTTTCCATTGTTACAATTGTTATCATCACTTGTTGATAATTAACACCTAAATTCTGGTTGATTGATGAAGTTAATTGTTACAGTTAGTAATCAATTTAATCTTTATTTATATTATTACTTTTCATGTTAGAACTTTATTTTTCTCGTCGAATTTGTTGGAAAAAAAAGTTCTAAACAATTAATTGTTATTCTGTCATAATTAAACTTATGTACAAAGGTAAATATTGATTTGATTGTTGATCGATATACAATTTTTCATGATTGATAAAAATACAACAATCAAATGATCAAAATTCAGATCATGTTAATTGTTGTTTTTTTTTATATCAATAATTATCATTAAAATGATTGAGACACAATTTAAGTTACAATTGATTGTTTTTCTGTTATCAAATCTAAACAATCAAAGAAACAAACCACAATTTAATCATCTTAATTGTTGTAAGAAATGATGAAAGTAATTAAATCGTCATTTAAATCAGTTGTGAAAAGTATTAATCATCAGTAAATCAAACTTTACAATCTAAGAACGTGAATCTCATTATAATTAATTTTCTGCCAATTCAATCAAATGTTAATCATTTCCCGATTCTAAAATACAATTTAATAGATCACATCTCACTATTTTCGATAGCAATTAGTTAAATTTGATTATATTGATTTGTCAATCAGTGAGAGAAAACATAAAAAATGATTAATCACTTTTAAGTACAAATTTACATTATTAATATCAATTGGAAATACAGAGAAAACAGAAAAACAAAACTAAAATCAAAGTTAATTGTTATTAAATTGTCAGATGATAACATGGAGCATATAGAAGACAATTAAATCTAATTGTAATAATAATTTCAAATCAAAGGCGATAATATAATATGAATCCTATGGGGGAAAAAAATGAACACAAAAATATACAAATGACGTTGATTTTAAATTGATTTTAAATTTAATTATTTAATATATTAGTTAATTATCATCTTCATCATCATCAGCATCAGTTCAAGGTGTCATAAGATGATAAACCAAGCTGTGATGATGATAAGAAAGGCAACAAACTTCACAGATATTGAGAGAGAGAGAGAGAGAGAGAGAGAGTAAATCGCCCCAGGGCAACAAGAGGAAAAGATGAGGATGAAAAAAAAGTAAAAAAAAAAGAAGTTTAGAAAAAGAAAATTGTTCTAAACAAAATGATCTTCTAACTGACAGGAATTAGTAAAGCCAAAGGTTAATTTACCTGGATAATAATAATAATATTATTAAGCGGTAAATGTAAACGCCTTTTCAACTTAGGACCTTCGAGGATTCGAGGACGAAGCTCATTCATCCAAGAGGCATGTGTTCAATGTACACACACACTCACTAGATATTCAATAATAACTATATAATGGATGTAAACTTAGTATTTTGTTGCTTTTGTTGGGTATAAATTAATATCTAAAGGTTATCACGAGTAGCACGTACCTTTTGTTGATGATTGTAGGTAATGAGGATGATAAATAATGTTAATAATAGGATGTTGTTGATGATAAATAACAACAAGACAACAATAAGTACCAACGGAAGTAAACAATGTAATCGGTATATGAAAGCTTTTTTGTTTTGACACCAGAAATACATTAATGAATTGGGTCAATCGCATTGATTGTTGGTAATGAAAAAGAAAAAGAAACACAATCAATTCAATCAGTTAATTGTTTTCTTTTCTTCCCCTGTTATCTTTTAGTTTAATCATTTACATGATTTGTAGATTGTGATGAAAGGTTTAGATAAAAAAGTTTTGCTTCCTTCATTATTGATTTGGATTGAGTTTCATTCAAGTGATAATGATGATGATTTGGGATGAGGATGATGAAGATGTTAGAAAATGTTTCTTTTTGTATTTAATTGTGATGATGATGATGATGATGATGATGACTGTTATATTGTTTTCTTACATCAATGAAACGATGAGAGAGATGATGATGTTGATGAAGAGGAAAAACAATGAATGGGATGATAAAGATGGAGAAAGAGAGAGGATGCTAAGAAGATGTTAAAAGAAGGAGTGGCTTTCGGCTATAATATTCATCTTCATCTTTAAATTATATCATTTAGCTAAGATGATGATGATGAAAAAAAGGTTAGGTAGCTAAAAGGAGCCATTAGAACATTTTATTTTCTCCTTATTCGAAAGGTAAGTCTTCATCTTTATTGATCTTCATCATTTTTCTGATGCTTATTAGTGGTATTATTGACATGGAATGAAGTTATTCAGTGAAAAAAAAGATGATGATGAAGATAAATAAAAGAAAGAGATTGAAAATGGCTCTAATTGTCTGTTGAATAGCTAATTTCTTGGATTATAAGGAGAGAGAAAGAGAAAGAGAGATGAGTAGATGAAGATAAAGATGGAGATGGAGATGATAAGGATGATAAGCAGAGAGAGAGAGAGAGCATAAAAAGCTCAATTTGAAACATGAGACTTTGTAATAGTTGTCAGAATGTTACAGACACGCAATAGGCTCGGCGATTGTAAGATGAAGATGATAAGTTTACCTTTAAGATGCTCATCATCTTTATCATCTTCAATGGTTTCTGTTTATGTCGCAAGATGAATAAAAAAAATTGTAAGATGAAAACAAAACAAAACTAAAGTTGATCTAATGTTTATCCTTAAATAGGATCTACAAGCGTAGCTAATTGAAAATCATTGAAAAATTATCAAGATAAAGCAAAATAAAAAGGTGATGCAGATGATGAGGATAAAGAAGAGATCATCATCATCTTCATCATGATCAACAACAACAACAACAACAACATCATGAAGATAAGATGCAAAAAGCAAAGTTAACTGTGATTGATATATCAAAGATAATTTCATAATAATATTAAATTTGTTGCTTGCCAAAAGCCCCTGATGATTATTAAGGGAAAAAAACATAGACTTGGTGATGAGGATAAACTTTGAGATTAAAGTAAATCAGTTAATCGTCTTTGTCAGTTCAATTATCTACACCAAATATTATATATCAGATTCTGAAGAAGAAGCTTAAAAAATTGTTGATCCTTCCCCTCCAATCATAATTATGATATAATGCAATTAGAAGGCATGAAAATTAACCGATTTGATTGAACAATTTATTAAATTGTCAGAAGTAAAAAAAACTAACTAAAAGTTAATTTAAACTTCCCAAAGTGATTTGCCTGAAAACTAAAACAATCTATTCAATTGTTTAATTAAAATTCATTTTGTTTGTAATTAGTTATTTTTTTTTCCTCTTTCAATTTCCATTGGATACTTTTTCGCCCTCAGGGCTTACAAATCAATATCATGGCGATTCATCAAAAATCATCATGTACTGTCCATACAAGAATGATGGTAATTAATGTTAGACAATTAACTGATTGATATTAATATTTTTATTTTTCGGAAGAAAATTTTTTTTCTCATTAGTTTTAATTCATATT